GCGTGTGTGTGTGTGTGTGTTTGTAGGTGTGTGTGTTTAGCTTGGACAGAGTCATGCCAGTTGTTTACACCCTTTTCATCTCACTCTTAGAAAGAAAGTGCATAAGCATATTTTCAGAAAGCCGAAACCTTTCTCACAGCATTTTCATGTCTTGTTTGTTTATTATTATTTATCTCGGTAGTTTAAAGCTGCAACTACTGAAACATAGCAATCTTTAAAATATATTAATATTGCTGTGGTTATGGTTTAAAGGAATATGCTGAGCGCATATTTGAATTGTACCTTTAAAAGTCCTCAAATGTGTTCTGTTACTGCTCAGTGGATCGGTAAGTTTCACAGTTTATTTGTATTTGTATGCGCGTCTCCAATGTGTGACTTTAAGACGAGTTGAATCTGAGCTGAAAAGAGCAGAGCTGGATCGAACAGCTGTTTGACTCGATCAATACACCTCTTCATCAAACAATTTCCAGCAGCACGGTATGGATTTACCATGATGAAAATGATGGGAAAATGCTCCGCTCATTACTACCTCTTCAACCTGGCATCTGTCACCAGATGTGTACGTAACAGAATCAATCCGTGACGCAACTGCTTGTGCATGATACAGTTTATACCAAGCTAAAGCCCAGTGAACAATCCCAGGGTCTCGTTTGGAGATGAAGGGGGACGTAATTGTTGTAGCGCTTGTCAGAATCACAGCAATGTTAACAGCTATTAAGACATCCCAGCGCCCGACTGACTCTTTCAGCCAATTAAACGTTGCTTTCTTGTGTGTTTCTGTGCGTGTGTTTGTGTGTTTTCGTCTGTCATTCCCATTCTTTGTTTTTCATCTCTCTCTGAAGCACTGGAGATTTATTAAGGACAGGACAAGACCAGTGATGACAGTTCCTTTCATGTCCCCTGGGGAAATACAATAAGCTTGCTGCGTCTCTCTCTCTCTCATCTTCCTGCAGCTCTGCCTCCTTGTACTGCCTATTAGTGTCAAGGTTCCATGTCTGCACTGTCAACTTTCTGCATTTATGTGCTTTATTGCTATCTTTTTGCTCTCTACTGGTATTTCTCTTGACTTTTGCTACCAGTGCTTTACTTCTCCTCTTCTTCTTCTTCTTCTTCTTCTTCTTGTATTTGCTGTGTTTTCTCATGGTCCTGCTCAATATTCTGTCTCCTTTTAAATGAAGGCCCTTCTGCCCTCCACCGCCAGGTCACGGTTACTGTTCATGTGGACGGTGCATCTGTGAGGAGGGCTGGTTCGGGAAGCTCTGTCAGTTCGCCAGATCTTGTGACATGAGCGATGCCCAGAGCAAGGAGCTTTGCGAGACCTCTGATGGAGTCATGTGCAGCGGAAAAGGTGAACAAGATTCTTTTTTATTACTTCACTCTGTACTGCTGAGAAAAAGGTTTCATAAAAGTCAATGCTTGGGTGTCAAAATTGAAGTCAAGTAATGTATCTTTTAATGTTTTAGTAAAGGATTTTCCTACCACACATACAGTATACACAATATACACATCAAAAATAGAGATTATGAATATGTGGAGATAAAGTAACTCTTGGAAGGCCCTACATGTAAAATATTAGCAAATGCATGGTTCAAATCATCCATCCAAAGATCATTGGTAAACTATGAACCTCAGAAGTTGGTATAGCGGAAATCTATCTTTTCAAAATAATGTTGATATTAAACATCCATCATATTCCACCCATAAGAAACTAGTGCTTTTCACTGTAAGGCCACGTTTAAACATAGCCGAGTATTTACAAAAATGGATCAACGTTTTCAAAAATAACATTGTTCACACCAGATTGTTTTCAAAAAAATCTTTGTGTACACAAACCCGCATAAACACATCGCTAAGAGCTGCTATGAGCATGCCAAACCTATAGGGGGCAGCGTAACGAGAAGCATAAAGCCATGCTAGCCAATCAGAATCCTGGAAAAAACCACAACAATGAATGGCACAAATTACTTGCTGTTACTTCAACAATAATGGCACGAGGGTTGTTTGTTTGGACCAGCAGAGAAGTGGAGCTACTCCTAAATGTGGTGTCAGAGTACAAAACAAGTAAAATAATTGAAATTAAAGCTGCAAGCAGCGTTGGTCGGGTCCTCGGTCTGCGTTGGACCCTCATGCCCGTCTGACCTCCATTTTGACAATTTATTCAACTTCACTACACTCTGACAAACTAATAGGCAATTTTCATAGTGTTGCTATCTCCTACGAATTTAGAGATATGTAGCTTTAAGTTGAAGGAGCCATGATTCACTGTCTGCTCAGCCTCAGACTGTCAGTGAGTCACAGGACCAGCTGCACTGACCTGTGATGATGTCATCGTTCAGCATGTGCCTTGGTGGGAGAGTGACATTTTTACTCACTTTAACTCTCCCATACAGCCACAATTTTCACCAAATGTGTGTAAAAACAGCATATTTTTGTGGGAAATCTTG